CTGGAGGTGTTCCTGCTGCTCGCGGATGAGCATGATCGCCTCGCTGACCTGCCCACGGGGTCCACCCGGGCATGCGTCCTGGAGAAGGAAAGGTAGGAGGATGAGGAGCAGTGCTGACCAAGTGTGCACATCTGCATGAAGAGGAAGTTGCTGAGTGAGACAACAAGCTTGACGCGCTGACGCGCCATTCTGCGCACAAGGCCATGCTAAAACACAACAGGAAAAATGGATGAGGAAGAGGGCCCAGACCTCCGACGAAACGTTTATTCCAACCTCTTCGCTTTTCCTTCATTTCGGCCACCTGGGGCCGCCTTACGGCTCGGCTATGCTTCAAAGCGGATACAGGACACAAAACTGCCCCCGGGGAAGGGGTCGGGAGCCCTGGGGCCGCGGAATGAACAGACCGTATCGGAGGAAGTGGGGGGAGGAGGAGGAGGAGGAGGAGGAGGAGGAGGAGGACGACGACGACGACAACGACGATGACGAAGGAGGCGATTTAGACGTACCTTGCCTTTGGGACCTCATTGGAAGGAACGCGGCCACGGCTGGACGCACCTCGAAACGTGTGCCACGATGGACCCGGGCCCGGGAGGTTTCTGGGGGCACGTTCCGAAAGGATGTCAAGACGAGGACAACAACGACGGGGACGACAACGAGGGTAGAAGAAGAAAAAACGTCATAAACATAAACTTTTGGCCCTCCGCGCGGATTTCTTGGATCTGCGCTGGTCCCTCCCCCTTTTCTTCTTCGAGAGGGGAGGGAGGAGGTCGTCGAGGAGGATGAAGGTGTCCGTCAAAAATAAGCGGGCGCCAGCTGTGGATGTGCCCGCTGGCTCAGCCAAGGCATGCGCCGATCCTCGGCCCAGAACTGGCCCGTGCAGGATTGGTACAGGAGGGCAGCTGGCGCCCCACAACAACGAGTGGCATATTAGAGAGCAGAAAATCCGCCCTCATACGAATCACCCCGACACGGGAAGTCGTTTAGTAAACGCACCCAAAGAAGGAAGCAAATAGGGCAGGGCGGTTTTGTAAACGCCCAGGGTCGTTTAGTAAACGCCAATTGTCGGGTCTGGGTGGTTTCTCCTCCCTGGACATATGAAAGCAAGCAGAGAATCTAAACATGATGTGTGTTGTCCCTGCTTGCCTCTGCTTCTGCCACGTCAAATCGCCGGATCGCGTGCAAGTTTGTCGACGCGACTTGCTGCACGGGCACCCAGTTGGGCGATCTCGAAAACCCTGAAACCAAACACGTGTTCATCTCTTGGGGGCGCATGCTTTACTTCTGCCGCCTTCCGCCGAGCTTCCGCCGGCTTCCGCCGGCGGAGGCGGCCTCGTTTTATGTCCGCCGACCTTCCGCCGCCCCTCCGCCGCTTTCCGCGGCGTAAGAGATGACAGCTCATTCGATCCTCGAAGGCAAGCCCCTTGTTGGAACGAGTGCAGGACATGATAGACTTGATCCACGCGTACTAGTAGCATCATGCCAGCATGCAAAAGCACGTGACGAGGCGACGCAGACGTACAGAACGCCCGCCCGTCGATCAGGAATCGGAGCACCAATCTCGGCTCCTCTGTCGAAGTCGTAGTTCGAGTCTGCTGCAAGAACACAGCATACAAAAAATACACATCGCCTACAGGTCCGAGGCCACCAATCGCCATTGCCCTCTCTCCTCGCGCGTGCCCATCTAGAGCCGTGCAGCATGCCTGGTAAAACTGCTACCAGACACAGTGAAATGCTAAATATACCTGAGGTGTCCACTTCGGGCCCTCTGCTCTCCTCCTCCTCCTCCTCCTCCTCCTCCTCCTCCTCCTCCTCCTCCTCCCCCACCTCCTCCTCCTCATCATCATCATCCTCCTCCTCCTCCTACTCCTTCTCCTCCTCCTCCGCCGCCTACCCGTCCTCCTCCTCCTCCTCCTCCTCCTCGTCCTCGTCCTCCTCCTCCTCCATTCCTCCTCCTCCTCCTCCTCCTCCTCCTCCTCCTCCTCCATATCCTCCTCCTCCTCCATATCCTCCTCCTCCTCCTCCTCCTCCTCCTCCTCCTCCTCCTCCTCCTCCTCCTCCTCCTCCTCCTCCTCCTCCTCCTCCTCCTCCTCCTCCCCCTTCCTCCTGATTATCCTCCCCCTCCATCGTGGGTGGCAATTATTTGACTGTCCTAAGCGACGTGTGCTTCTCGTGCCGATTGGAGGCCCCAGACGTCCAACATCACGACCCGTACAACACGCGGCCCCAAATCTCTCAACACCCTTCTCTGAGGCCGGCTCGTAACCGATGGCCTCGAAGTCCGAAACGTGCCTTCGGATGCCAGAACCGACAAACATCGCCGACGTCGAAAAGCAAGGATAACACCACCTTGCTCCTGCGAGTTTCCGCCAAGGCTTAAGCCCCTGCTCCTCATCCTCCTTCATCCTTCCTCCTCCTCCTTCCTCCTCCTGCGCTTGCTCGTCCTCCTCCCCCTCCTCCTCCTCCTCCTCCTCCTTCTCCTCCTCCTCCCCCCCCTCCTCCGCCTCCTCTCCTGGAACGCATCGCCCTGCTGCAGAATGCAAATGCCTGGCAGTGCACGCGCAACTGATCCCAATAGGCCGGCCTGTGCCTTCTCGACCTCCATGTCCCGCAAGACTCCTCGGCAATGGGGGCTCCGGAGAAGGAAAAGACTCGCTGCTGCCCGCTCGCTCGGCGTCCTCAAAAAAAGGCTCGGTGCTGCCCGCCCGCCTGGCGCCGAGCACGAGCGAGGGCGGCCGCGGTCCCCCCCAGGGGAACACTAAACGGGAACCCCTCCGCCAGGTCGGGGAAAAATCACCGGGAGAAACTCAACGGCGGACCTCACCCTACATACATACATATATATATATATATACAAGTGGCACGTGTGTGCCCAGGCTCATACACAAAAAAAACTGAAAGGGCGTTTGAAGCAGGAAGACACCATGACTGCAGGATCGAAGATGGAGAAGGGGAAGCTGGGCCGATTTGGACACCGGAAGAGGCTCCAGGAGGCCCCGGGATTGTGAGTGTTGTGTGTGATGTGTGCTCTGTGTTGTGCGTGTTTTCTGTGCGTTGTAGGTGTTGTGTGTGCTATGTTTGTCTAGCGTGTGATGTGTTGGGTGTGATTTGTGTCTCTGTGTGTGCATGTAGTTCTGAGGCCCCAGGAGGCCCCAGGCCCCAGGCGGCCTCAGGAGGCCCCAGAAGACCCCAGGAGGCCCCAAGAGGCTCCAGGAGGCCGCAGGAGGCCCCAGGAGGTTCCAGGAGACCCCCAGGAGACTCCGAGGCAGGGTCTGGGGTACCAGAAGGCACAGAAAGCCCCAGGAGGCCCCAGGAGGTTCCAGGAGGCTCCCAAGAGGCTCCGAGGCGGGGTCTGGGGTACCAGAAGGTACGTCGGGGCTCGATTTTGGGAGGATGTCTCAGGCGAAATCGCCATTCTCTGAGAATCGGGGTCAAAATCATTGAAATTACAATGTGTTTTTGAAGGTTTTATGTTAGAATGTTGAAATTCTCACGTGTTTTTGGACCCTGACGTCACGATCTGCCTGAGGGGTGCCACCGATTTTCAGAAGTTCGAGGATGCCCCTAGCGAAACGGCCAGAAAAATCGCGAACGCCGCCTTCAATTAATCGGCTCTGAGCTCTACTCCCTCGGAGAGGTGCGTATGATAATAAACATAAACATACATACATATACATATATATATATACATATGTGTGTGTGGATATCCCACTAGCCCTTTGGGCGAATGCGGTCTACTGATATCTTCTTGTCCTCTTCCAAAAACCCTCTTCCCTTCGTGGAGGGGTACCCTCCGCAACCCCTCCCTGACGTTTTTTTTTGGGGGGGGTCGCGATGTGTCAAGTTTTTTCCAACGATCCTGTGATGTTGGGTCTCGTTTTGAAGAAACAGCGCCCCGCGTCACTCTCCTCTCCTCTCCTCCTCCTCTTCATCCTCCGCCCACCTCCGCCCTCCTCCGCCTCCTTGCCTCTGCCCTCCTCGTCGCCATCGTCACCATAATCACCCTCATCATGATCATCATCGTCACCACCACATCAGCACCATCATCATCATCATCATCATCATCATCATCATCATCAGCATCATCATCATCATCATTATCATCATCATCATCATCATCGTCAGCATCATCATCAGCTGCATCGTCATCAGCATCAGCATCATCATCAGCAACATCCGCATCAGCATCATCATCAGCCTCATCATCACAATCATCATCATCATCATCATCATCATCATCATCATCATTATCAAGAGCATCAACATAACCATGGTCATCATCATCAGCATCATCGTCATCGTCGTCATCACAATCACAACAACTATCATAATCAGCATCATCATCAGCATAATCATCATCACCACCATCATCATCAGCATCGGCATCACCGTCAAATGTATCGTCATCCTCGTCATCGTCATCATCATCGTAATCAGCATCAGTATCATCATCAACATCGTCATCAACATCATTATCATCATCATCATCATCATTATCATCATAACCCTCCTCATCAACATTACCGTAATCGTCATCATCCGCATCAGCATCATCATTGTCGTCATCATCATCACCATCACCATCACCAACACCAGCACCATCACAATCATCATCATAATACTCGTCATCATCATCGTCAGCGTCGTCATCATCATCAGTATCAGTATCAGTATCAGTATCATCATCATCATCATCATCATCATCATCATCATCATCATCATCATCATCATCATCATCATCATCAGCATGATCATCATCATTATCTTCGTCGTCAACGTCGATTCGTCCACTTCGTCATCACCATCGTCATCGATTCGGACACACCCCTCACACGTTTCGTAGTCCCATAGGGAGCTCCACAGAAGGCCCGAGTGGCACAGTCCGCATGGCGCACACACACCCGACTCGGTACACCAACTCTTCCCCCTCCTCCTCCTTCTACTCATCCTCCTCCTCGTTTTCCTCCTTCTCTTCTTCCTCCACCTCCTCCTCCTCCTATTCCTCCTCCTCCTCCTGTTCCTCCTCCTCCTGTTACTCCTCCTCCTCCTCCTCCTCCTCCTCCTCCTCCTCCACCTCCTTTCCTTCTTCCTCATCGTCCTCCTCCCCTTCCAGACCTCCGATGCAACCTTCTTCAGCACGTGGGCCTCGCAACGCTCGACCAACCTTCCCAGGCGCTGGCGTTTCGTCCCGGACCGTTGCTCGAGGGCCCTGAACGGTGCACCACATGCCGAAACAGGCGGGAATCCGGCCGTCGTGTGCGCGGTGGAGAGAGCTCGCGCGAAAAGAGGCGGCCGCGGCCAGCCCGGCTCCGGGCGCCTGACACCGAGGGCACCTGCCGGGCAGCACGAGCCCACCCCCGCAGCCGGCGCCCTTCCCGTTGTATGAAGTCGGGCGTGTCCCTCTACAGGAGGAATACTCGAAAATAGTAGATGTAAGATGTAAACATTTTTGAATACTCATGTTTTGACTACTTCTTTGCATCTTTGAATATTTCTGGACAACTTTTTCAACGTTCGTCCAAAATTCGCCTGCATGAGGACACGCCCGACCCAACCGTTCTCCCTCCCTTCTTCGGTTCCGACCCCGACTCCTCCCCCCCATGTGCATAGCTTTGCCCTCGACCCTCGAAGGTCGGACGGGGGGGAGGCTCTCCAACACGTGTTTGGCCCTCGTCTTGCCTCGGGAAGCCTCCAGAGGCCTCCGGGGGCTGGGTCAGGACCCAGGGCGGGAGCAAAACTTACAACCCCCATCCCTGACCTGCCTCCTCCTCCTCCTCCTCCTCCTCCTCCTCCTCCTCCTCCTTCTCCTCCACCTTCTCCTACTCTTCTTACTCCTCCTCCTCCTCATCCTCCTCCTCCTCCTCCGCCACCTCCTCCTCCTCCTCCTCCTCCTCCTCCTCCGCCACCTCCTCCTCCTCCTCCTCCTCCGACTCCTCCGACTCCGCCGCCTCCTCCTCTTCCGACTCCACCTCCTCCTCCTCCTACTCTTCTTACTTCTCCTCCTCCTCCTCGTCCTCCTCTTCCGATCCCCCCACCTCCATCCATGTTCCTTATTTAGAAAATCCTCCCTGTCGCACCCGCGCACGTGTCGGTAAGGCGAGCCGGGCGTTTGGCTCAAACTTCCTCACGATGTCTGGCCATGGAGCTTGAAATGTGCAACAGCTTCAGGGCTGGAGGGCGTGGAGTTTTCGAAATGTAGCTCTCGTCTCAGCGCCGCGCGCATCCGTCTTAAAAGTTTGCAGCAGCTTCAAGAAAGAAGGGCGGGAAGTTTGCAAAATGCGGTTCTCGCCAAAGCGCCACGCCCATTCGCCTTGAGAGTTCGCAAATATGTCACGGATGGAGGGCGGGCATTTATTATCTTTATTATTATTATTAGTATTAATATTATTATGAATAATATGGCTCTCGCATAAGCGCTGCGCACACTCGCTTTGAAAAGTTTGCGACAAGTTGATGGATGGAGGGAGGCGCTTTTTCCGCATGCGGGTCTATTTCAAGAACTCGAAAGGTGGAAGTCACAGGAAAGGCGTTCTGGCATGATTCAGGACTGCCAGGACACAACATACGCGTTGATTCGAGGGGTTGAAGTCCCAGGAACTACGCTCTGGCACGATTTAGCTCTGTCAAGACGCAGCAGTCACGTTGATTCGCGGCGCCGTAGTCCCAGGCATGGTGTCTTCGCGCGACTGAGGATTCTCAGACGATTGTCTTCCAATGGGGCATTTTCCAAAATGAAAATAAATCATTGTAGGGCCTATTAAAAAGAACTTGAAGGGAGGGTTTATTGAAACATCGTTGATGCGTTCTCGGCTTACACTGGTCATCCTCCTCCTCTTCTTCGATGCCGGGTGCAACGGACCGGTTCGCCCTAAGTCTGCAAACCTCGGAGCCCTCCCACCCGACCAGAAGTCAGGGGGAGGGTGGAAAGAAGCTCTCAGGTTGTAGCAGTGGCAGGACAGCTCGACAGAACAAGGGAGCAACAAGGGCGGCGATGCGGCGGGGCCTCGACGACGGGAGAGACGAGCGAGGGGGAGTTCCGCGGCCGCTGCGCGCCTCACCGCACCCCCGCAGACCTGCACAACTGGGCTGCAGGCCAGGGTGGGGAAGGCATTCGAGCGAGACGAAACCCACTGCATGTCGGGGCGCGCACAGGGGGGAAGAACGAGGGATCGGCTACACGCAAGAGTGACCCTGGGTTTAGGTCGGGCATGTCCTCCTTCAGGCGGATGTTGGACTGAAAATGAAAAATAGCCCCAAAAAAATCAGCCGACCCTGTTGGCGTGTGGAAGAGGCTGTTCCGTTTGACTCGTCGTCGTCGTCGTCGCCGGCGCCGCCGTCGTCGTCGTCGTCGTCGTCGTCACCGTCGTCGTCGTCGTCGTCGTCGTCGTCGTCGTCGTCGTCGTCGTCGTCGCCGGCGCCGCCGTCGTCGTCGTCGTCGTCGTCGTCGTCGTCGTCGTCGTCGTCGTCGTCGTCGTCGTCGTCGCCGTCGTCGTCGTCGTCGTCGTCGTCGTCGTCGTCGTCGTCGTCGTCGTCGTCGTCGTCGCCGGCGCCGCCGTCGTCGTCGTCGTCGTCGTCGCGGTCGTCGTCGTCGTCGTCGTCGTCGTCGTCGTCGTCGTCGTCGTCGCCGTCGTCGTCGTCGTCGTCGTCGTCGTCGTCGTCGTCGTCGTCGTCGCCTTCGCCGCTCGCTTCCCCGCCTTTCCCCAGGCCCGTCGCCGTTCCCCCCACTTTCACCGGGTTTTCCTCCTCGAGCGCGCCAACCACAGCGAAATTGAGCAACGTTGTAGTTGAGTCGACGAAAAGCCCTTTCCCTTTGCTCCCTTCCTCGCCGGGGGGGGGGGGGTACCCGGGGGTCCCGGGGGGGTCCCGGGGGGGTCCCGGGGGGAGTCCCAGGGGAGGGCTCCCGGAGGGGTCCCGGGGCAGATACTACTCCCGCTCGGGCGGTTGGGCGGCCAAGAAAAACTGCAGGACGCGGCAAAACTGCCACAAGATGCCCCCAAGACGGTCCTCGAGGGCCCCGAATCGCCGAAGTATCGGTCCAAGTCGCCAAAGTAGCCTTCAGACAACTCAAAAGGTTTCCGAAACGCCCCACGAGGCCTCCAAGAGGACTTCCAAGAGGGTCTCAAGGGGCCAAAATCATCGATTTCCCGTAAGTCTTTGCAAGATGTCGGCATTCTCGCCTTGTCAGCTTCCCGACGCTCCAAGACAGGCCAAGAAGCCCCCAAGACCGTCCCAAGATGGCACAAGAGGCCTCCAAGAGAGCCCCAAACGACCCAAGATGGCCCCAAGATCGACCAAGAGGCCTCCAAGACAGCCGAGGAGGCCCCCAATACGGCTCCAAGGAGGAGCCCCGACGGGGACCCGAACGGACACTTCGAGCCCTCGGCCTGAGAAGCTCTCAGGAGGCCCCCGGAGGTCCCTAAGAAGCCTCCCAAGAAGCCCCAAGAAGCCCCCAAGAGACCCCCAGGAAGCCCCAAGAGGCCCCCACGAGGCTTCCAAGCGGACCCCAAGAGCTTCCCACGAGGCCCCCAAACTACCCCCAAGAGGCCCCCGAGAGCGCTCGTCGTCGTCGTCGTCTTCGTCGCCATTCAGGGTCGGCGGCACCTGCCGTAAGGCCTTCGCAATATTCCAAAAGGCACCTGCCGTAAGGCCTTCGCAATATTCCAAAAATAATCCAAATAATGAAAAAATCGTCCCCTGACTATTTTTTTTGCCTATTTTTGAATATTCGTCCTGTGGAGGGACATGCCCGACTTCACCCTAGGTAGGAGTGACTTTTGGTGCGCGGCTTCTAGGGGACGCGAGGGGGTCAAACCTCAGCGCGCAGGCCGCTGCTATCGCACCGCGCTCAGCGATCAGGGGGACCCCAGTGGGCCCGCACCAAAGGGCACTCTGGCGAAGGGTCACTCTTACGTGGAGTCGAAGGGAGCAGGAATTCTCAGATGGCTCAGAAGGCTTCTGGGCCTCCGAGAAGCCTCCTGTCTCGGAGCGAGTTCTCGCCGCTGGCGGGGCGGCGCACACATCGCATCAGCCTGCTGGGAGGACGCCGCGGGCGGGCGGCGGGCGCTGGACCCACCCCACCCGGCGCCTCAGCGATGGCAGAGCCGACGGCACCTCCGGGCGCCACCCGCTGCCCCCGCTCTCCTCGGCGGGTCTCCCGACCTCGGCCCGGTGCTCCCCCGCTCTCCCACGATGACTCGAGACGGGCACCGCACCTCCCTCCCCCCCCCTTGGTGCTGTCCAGTGCGAGGGCCGCCGCTCCCAAAGTGTCGCTCGCCTTCCCCAAGCAGGGTCTGCCGAGAAGGACTTCGACGTATTCGTGAAGGCACCAGTGGGTGCGGCGTCGCTCCCCGGAGGAGGCGTCTGGCGTTGCTCGGGTTCCTTTGTCTTGATTCCTGGGTGCGACGCCGCTTTTCACAGAAGGGCCTCGGCGCTGCTCAAGTTCTGTGGTTTAGCTTCCCTGCTGCCTTCCCGGGGTTCCCTGGTCTCGGTTCCTTGCAGCCTTCCTGGGCTAAGCAATGCCCAGCAATATCAAGCAATGCCAAGCAATGCCAAAGAATACCAATCAATGCCCGGCAACGCTGGGGGGGAATCATCGTGCCCAATGCCCCGCGACGGTCTCAAGACAGGCCCCCAGTAGGCCCCAAGAGGGCCCTAAGAGGGCCCTCGTGAGGCCCCAAAGAAGCCCCAGAGAAGCCTACGACATGCCGTCAAGAGAGAGGGGAAGCAGAAAGAAAAGAAGCGGGAAAAATAACCGAGGGGAAAAACGAGGAAAACGAGGCTGTGGACGGGTAGGGGGCGGTCAAGACCCGCGCCTTTGGAGCGGGCCTCAAACTCACCATCTGTTTCGCTGTGCCACTGAGCTGGCTCGGTGGCGAGCTTTGCCGCAAGCAAGTGGGTAAGAATCATACCAATAACACTGCTCTGTTACCACTCCTACTTCTGACTCTTCCTGGCGTCCCTACTTTCCTCTTCTTCTTCTTCTTCCTCCTCCTCCTCCTCCTCC